CGTTTCCAGTACTTTTTTTTTATGCATTTCCGGATGCATTCCAGATAAGGTGTTCGTTCTATTTTCCTAGTTTTGTTCACTGTACTGTGGTCTGGAGCATTTTTTATGTGCTGTACCCCATTCCAGCACAGTCCGGTGCAAGAAAAATGCAGCAAGTTCTGCTTTTATTTTCTGGACCTGGAGCACCCTGGAACTGACCGCACTGGCGTGAAGAGAACGTGAAAGGGGGGTAAGAGAACGTGAAAGGGGGGTGAGAGAACGTGAAAGGGGGGTGAGGGAGAGAAAGGGGGAGGGAGAGAGAAAGGGGGGTGAGGGAGAGAGAAAGGGGGTGAGAGAGAGAGAGAAAGAAAGGGAGTGAGAGAGAGAGAGAGAAAGAAAGGGAGAGAGAGAGAGAGAGAGAGAAGAAAGGGAGTGAGAGAGAGAGAGAGAAAGAAAGGGAGTGAGAGAGGAGAGAGAGAAAGAAAGAGGAGAGAGAGAGAGAGAGAGAGAGAAAGAAAGGGAGTGAGAGAGAGAAAGGGGGTGAGAGAGAGAGAGAAAGGGGGGTGAGAGAGAGAAAGGGGGTAAAGAGAAAGAGAGGGGGGGGTAAGAGAAAGAGAGAAGAGAGAGTGGGGGGGTAAGAAAGGGGGGGTAAGAGGGAGAGTGAGACAGAGGGGTGGCGGGTGTCACTCTGATGTGGTCTGCACCCCCATAGTGATGCCACTGATATTTAGAAAAACAATTCTCCAATGATGTGCAAAAGGCAATTTTTAGGCCATAACTCATTAGGAAGTCCAAATGCTGTAGAAATGACGGAGCCTACTTCTTCCCAAGATTGGTGGACCACCGGACAGGACCAGAAACCGTGTAGGAAGTCAGCAACTTGGCCACAACCCCTAAAACATACTGGTGGCGAGCACAGACCCATCTTGAATAGTGTACTAGGGGTAAGATTAGAGTGGAGGTTTGCCAAAAATATTGGGCCAGCCCTCAACATCATTGGATTCAGGTGTTCCAATCACCTACAGCTGTATAAAATCATCACCTAGGCATGCAGACTGCTTCTACAAACATTTGTGAAAGAATGGGTCGCTCTCAGGAGCTCAGTGACTCCAAGCGTGGTCCCGTGATAGGTTGCCACCTGTGCAATAAGTCCATCCGTGACATTTCCTGGCTACTAAATATTCCACAGTCAACTGTTAGTGGTATTATAACAAAGTGGAAGCAACTGGGAACAGCAACTCAGCCACCAAGTGGTAGGCCACGTAAAATGACAGAGCGGGGGTCAGCGCATGCTGAAGCACACAATGCGCAGAAGTCGCCAACTGTCTGCAGAGTCAATAGCTAAAGACCTCCAAACTTCATGTGGCCTTCAGATTAGCACAACAACAGTGTGTAGAGAGCTTCATGGAATGGGTTTCCATGGCCGAGCAGCTGCATCCAAGCCTTACATCACCAAGTGCAATGCAAAGCGTCGGATGCAGTGGTGTAAAGCACGCCGCCACTGGACTCTAGAGCAGTGGAGACATGTTCTTTGGAGTGCCCAATCACACTTCTCTGTCTGGCAATCCGATGGATGTGTCTGGGTTTGGCGGTTGCCAGGAGAACGGTACTTGCCTGACTGCATTGTGCCAAGTGTAAAGTTTGGTGGAGGGGGGATTATGGTGTGAGGGTGTTTTTCAGGGGTTGGGCTTGGCCCTTTAGTTCCAGTGAAGGGAACTCTTAAGGCGTCAACATACCAAGTCAGTGCACAAAGCAAGGTCCATAAAGACATGGATGAGTGAGTTTGTGCAGGCCAGTCAAGTTCCTCCACCCCAGAGTCCTGACCTCAACCCGATAGAACACCTTTGGGATGAATTAGAGCGGAGACTGTGAGCCAGGGCTTCTCCCCCGACATCAGTGCCTGACCTCACAAATGTACTTCTGGAAGAATGGTAAAACCTTCCCATAGACACCCTCCTAAACCTGTTGGACGGCCTTCCCAGAAGAGTTGAAGCTGTTATAGATGCAAAGGGCAGGACCAACTCAATATTGAACCCTACGGACAAAGACTGGGATGGCATTAAAGGTCATGTGTGTGTAAAGGGCGGCCGACCATACTTTTGGCAATATAGTGTATCTCCAAATTCAGTCCAATCCGAGTCAAGAAATGAGGAGAGGCTTTTCCTTTTTTGAACGTATCAGCCGTGATTCTCCAGGGGTAGGGGTCTTATCTCAGATCTTTAGCACCAATTTTTGATCTGTCTTTTTCATGCTCCCCCTTTGTACAGACGAAAATGGGAGGAGGATTGTGGCATCACTTTTTCAGATGAGGATTGGGATTCCATGGTGGATAATATATGCAAAAGCTCTAGATCTCTTTCGGTTCGTGAGACGGCCCTTAAAGTTCTAACCAGATGGTATTATACCCCGTCAAGACTACATGTATTGTTTCCACAAACGTCCCCTCTATGTTTTCGTGGCTGCGACTGCACAGGTACTTTGGTTCATATATTTTGGGATTGCCCGACTATATCCTTGATCTGGCGTAGGATTTCTGAAGTGGCTGCCTCACTGTCGGGTACCCCGATACGATTGTCCATGCAGACCTGTTTATTGGGGGCCCATATCCCAGGGGTCTCTGATGCCAATCTGAGATTGATACATACATTATGTATTGCCACTTTATGGTCTATTGCCCTACATTGGAGGTCCAATGTTGTACCCTTGGACTCCGTTTTACACAGAATTGATGCTGTAATGCTTATGGAACGCATTTATTATACCCTACTAGAAAGATGCACTTATACGATAAAAAAAAGAATGGAAGTCTTGGAGAGATTGCAGACACTTATTGCATGCTTAATAACATCCCCAGTAGGGGTTGGCTAGCATATACTGTTGACGGATGTATCACTTAAACCTACTCTGTCGTTTACGTACCTCATGCACTTCGTAACTTCCTCTCTTTTTTTCTTATCTTCTTTGTTATGTTAATATACTTTTATGTATTGTACTTTTCAAAAGTGCCTTGTTTTTGCTGACAATATCACTTTTAAAATGTGCTGTTTTGCTGTCTACTCATGTACAATAAAATCGTTTGTAAACAAAAAAAAGGAAAAGAAATGAGGAGAGGCTAATTTTGATTGCTAGAACTTATTAGGTGATAGTAATAAAAATAGACCCTTTGCACTCAATTCACAAAGCTTTAAAACACAAGGATACAGATCTTCGGTCATATGACTGTCATTTTCAAATTTCATTGCTCTCAGCTGGGAACAACTGTCACTTTTTTTTTTTTTTAATATAAATCAGTATCCTTATCCTGGTGCTTTATGAATCGAGCCTCTTGAATCAGTTTTGTAAATGAACTTCAAAGAAAAGTCTGTAAAAGGCAGAATGATGGGTTATATAATTCTGGAATGTCATCCTGGTAGAGTGACAATGGAATGGGCCCCTCGCTCATCGCACACAGCTCCACCACTGCAACGGGCACAATACAACTACTGAACCATGTGAAATTCTCTCAGAAGTCAGTCGCTTGTGAAAAGCCTTCACAGAATCGCAGCTGCCCGGCGCTCCCGGCAATCCGAACGCCCAGCGACACACACGCAGGACTCTCGTCAACATTTCTACAGTTTAAAGTGAACCTGTTGCTGAGACAAAGGCAGACATTTGTAACTAGAATCCAGGCAGTTTGTGAGTGAGCCAATATTCAAAAGGATGCAGCTTACAGCAAACAGCTAAATTCACAAAAATGTAAGCATAAGGATCTTTTTTTAGCCATGTGATTTATTTATAGATCTCACTGATCTGAAAATAACTCACCTTGCAAATAAAGATCTTTATCCCGGTCTGTTAACTTTGAGAATTGAGCCTATAGAGCAGGGTAGGCAACCTCAGCATTCCAGCTGTGGTGAAACTACAAATCCCATCATGCCTGTGTGTGTCAAGACCTGCAGTTCTTCATGGGACTTGAAGTTCCACAACAGCTGGAGTGCCGAGGTTTCCTACCCAGCTAAAGAGTATATGGGGCGGTTTTGATTGCCAAAGGATTTGTATTCTTGTTCTATTCTTAGATTTAAGTTGGCCATAGACAGCTTGAAATTCAGCCGATTCTTACTAATTTGGCCTAAATTCAAGCCGTTGAATTGTGTCCCTCTTCTCAGCGTGGGTGTGCGTGTCCTCTGTCATTGCGGAGCCAGCACCATGCTGCTGCACTGGTGTCATTCTTTCAGCTCTGAAAAAATGTCACCAACACACCAAGGATCACCAATATGGGTCCAAAGGTTATGACCACATGCCTGATGAAGGGGTCCTGCGAGACACCGAAACGTTGCCTTGCTGTAACTATGTGATCTATTAAAACCCTTGGACCCATATTGGTGATCCTTGGTGTGCTGGTGACATTTTTTCCTTGCTGACTTTGTTCGGTTCCAGCCGATGGTCACTGCAGCACCCACTTATACACACAGCCATTTTTAACGCAGAAACGTGTGTGTTTGGATTCTACATTTGCATTCTTTCGGCTCTGAGATTGCACTGGAGGGCACAGCAGTCAGGCAGAATGGCAGAGGATGGAGCAGCACCTCTACTGTAGCCGGGAAGAGGATCGGCAGTAGGGCGGCAGCACCGGTGAAGTAGATCTGATTCCATCCTTGCTCTCATGCCGTGCTTGACCCGCCCCAATCCAGTTCTGCCAGGTTATTTGTAAAAGGTGCCACAACATCACTGGCTGCGCTATTGGTCTGCCCCCTCCCCTCCCCTGGCTGAGCGCAGCCGAGTCCAGCTGGGTGGCTTCAGAACCACACATGTGCAGTTCCGTAGCCGACCCAAGACATTTTTTTTTTTTTTTTTTTAATACAGGCAGCCGCTATCTGTAACGGACATTTACGGACAGCTTGTAACTTGCCTGAAATTTACAAACTGTCCACAAATTTATGAACGGTTGGAAACCCTGGTATGGGCACCATATCTCAGCTGGTTTTATCAGAATGGTAGATAGAATATCAGGAATGGAGTATTTTCGGCCACACTGTACTGACCTGGAGAAGCGTCTGGCATTCGTTCAGAGCGTTCAGTAGATCCTGGATGTCACGCTGGTGCTGGACACCCTGCTTCTGGTTCTCCGTGTGGGCCTGAGACAGGAGGCGACCCTTCTCTTGTAGCTGGGACAGAAGAGGGTTAGGAGCAGAGAGACCGGGGAGAGAGCCGCCAAAGTCATCCAGTCCTTGAGACAGCAGGGAGTCTGCTAGAGCCTGTGATGGAGACAAGAGACAATATGGACACCAAGCAAGAAAACATCCAAGGAAACCTGTAGGGATGTGAGAAGGAAGCTTCCCTTGCATCTGAAGATACTAGTTACCTGGCTGTCATGCTGAAACGGGAGCGTGTGGACCCCAAAACGAGTTGGCTCTCTCAGTGGTTGATTAATAAAACACTCATGACTCGATCACCATTGGTGTGGAACCTTTACTGCTTCCCTCACATCCTGATGTGCTGATCTACAGGCATTAATTCCTATATCATGGACTGCAAACTTCTGATCTGCAAACTTGTTTAGAGTTCTGATCTGGGTCACTTTATCAAGTTTTGAAGCCAACATCAGTCAAGAAGCATCTTCAGAAGCCAGCAAAAGCAGATTTCATATTTTTCTCAGTCAAGGTTCACTATAACCACTTGCAGACTGCCCCCTGCAATATACTGTGGACGGGCGCCCCATACAGGCACAATGACATACTTTTATGCTGCTGTGCCTGTTTCCGTGTACAGGGCACACGCACCGACTCCTGCTGGTGATTGTACACAGTGGGAGTTTGTCAGCAGGTCCCAGCCAAAGATTCATGGCTGGGACTTTCTGATCGGCTGTGTCCAACCATAGCCCAGATCCCTGTGTTGACAATCAACACAGAGCTCTATACAGAGAGAATGATCTCTGTCTCTTCTCCCTGCAAAGCAGGGAGAAGAAACAGAGATATTTAGTAAAAATCAGCACACAAATTAACACATTAACACTTGTTAGGCGCACCTTTAACCCCTTGGTTACCCGACAAGTTAACCCCTTCCCAGCCAGTGTCATTAGTACAGTGACAGTGTATAGTATTATCACTGATCACCAGGGGTGGACTGACAACTCATGGGGCCCCCAGGCAATAGGGGATCATGGGGCCCCTGTGTCCTTGCCCAAACTCAAAAAAGCCAATGAAAAAAAAAAGGTACCAGGGGCATCTCATGGGGCCCCCTACTGATCCCGGGCAGTGCCCTAGTTTCCAAATGGTCAGTCCGCCCCTGCTGATCACTGTAATAATGTCACTGGAGATGTCAGTGGAAGTTAGTTAGTCAGTTCCCACCCAATGTCAGTCAGTGTCAGATTGCCCACCACACAGTCCCAATAAAAGTCACTATTCACCGCCGTTACAGTATATAAAAATAAATACAAATTCCACTATATATACACCATTGTTTGTGGATGCTAAGACTTTCACGTAAACCAATTAATATATACTTGTAGCAGAATAAATTTTGGCCTAAATTCATGAGCAAACTTGATTTTTTAAATTTTTTTTTTATTGGATAGGTGTTATACCAGAAAGTAAAAAATATATTTGTTTTTTTTTCAAAATTTTCAGTCTTTTTTTTTTTAATCTATATAACAAATAAAAAAAACCACCGGTGATCAACTACCACCAAAAGAAAGCTCTGTTTGTATGAAAACAAATGATATTTCCTTTGGGTACAGTGTTGAATGACCGCGCAATTACCAGTTAAAATAGCGCAGTGCTGAATAGCAAATATGGCCTGGTCACGAAGCGGGTAAAACCTTCCAGAGCTGACGTGAAGCTATGTATAGATCCTATAACCTTTTTCCTGTTTGCAGTGCTTAAAAAGGAAAAAAAAAAAAAAAAACGATTAGCTATTACTATGAAACAAAATCACTTTATAGAGTACAATGAACACTTCACAGCAATCTCTGACCCGAAAGGTCAATCTATTTTCCCAGCATCCTCATAAAGATACAACGCAGACCCCATTTGGGACACACAGATTCCATGTGGTCAATGTCTCTACTGGGGATTGAAATCTGGACCCCAGAGCTGCAAGGCCACAGTGCTGACTATAAAGTCACCAAGAAGCCCACATGTTGTGTTCAATCTACTCACCTCCACATCCTGGTTGCTGCTGCTCAGCGCGCCTTGTACCGCTGCGATCAGGGCATCCTTCTCCCGCAGAGCGGCCAGGCGTAGGGTGTCCTGGGATTCAGCTGAGCGGATAGCAGAGTCCAGTGCCACCTCCAGATGTTGGATAGTGAAGTCCTTTTCCCCCAGGATGTCACGCAGAGCCTTGAGAAAGGAGAACAATCATCACTGAGCACAGATTAGGATCTGGTCCAAACAATACTACGTGACGCGACTATGTCCTAATTGCAGTAGAGGTAAACCCAAACTAGATAACATTTAGTTTTCTAAAGCACTAGGTATCAGACAACTACCATTTTTTCACATAATAATGGTGTTCGCCTTTTTTCATCCTTTTTCCAACTCAGTGCTGCTGATCTCCTTCAGCCTCTCTTCAGCCACTTCCTGTCTACATGCACTCTCTCCAGCAATGGCTGCTTAACATTGCTCTGGTCTGGATTCCTAATAGTGACAAAAAGCGGATCGTACCTGTGCAATGTGCGTCTCTACCATGTGTGCATGTGACAGGGTGACAATGCAGGAGAATGATTGGAAGACAGCGGTCACTGCATAACAGGAGGTGCTTTAACAAGGACTTTCATGGCAGGATCACCAGATATTATATTAATAAATGCAGCAGATCTAGATATATGGAAACGTAAAACTAACATGTAAAAAGTTGTGAGCAGAAGACACATACTATAATTATTCTGCAATAAAAGCAAATTTACCTGCCTATCTAGATCAACTGTTGATATAGGTTTATAACTTTTTTTTTTTTTATGGTTGAACTGGGTGGACTTTTGTCCTTTTTCAGCCAGACTAACTATGTAACCTGCCTGTTTGTAGTCTTCTGTAAAATGTACGCACAGTTCAGTTTACAGCCTCAGCTCAGTGCCAGGATGAATGAACTCCTGTGCATGCGGTTGCTGAGCTGGCCAATCAAGACTGCCAAAGACCCACCATCCTGACGAAGCTGGAGAGAAGAAGCCAGTGCTGGCGAGGGACCTTGTCAACACTGGATCAATGGAGGGGAGATATATGGGGCATTTAGTTCCACTTTAGTGTTAAACTATACTTAGCAGTACTTGGTGTCCTTTCACATCTACCTTGACACTCCATGGTGGTTGAATTAACCACTTCCCCCTGGGTGGTTGTCATATGATGTTCTGGGGTTAAAGTGCAGGCATCGACCCGGTATCAAAATTTCCAGTCAGCGATGCGGTTTCATGTAGAAGAAATTCAGTGGCTATATAGCCACTCAGTCACCTCCCCCCACGCCTTTCCTGTCACATTGGGGAGCCTGGGACTGCTCCATCTCCATCAGTGAACACAAAGAGAGGAACGGTTGTTGCTCCTCCCTCTCTGTGAAATCAGAAATCGGAAGTGATGAGGATTTTTTCACTTCCAGCTTTGGTTCTTTGTTTACTGGTACCTTAGAGTGTAAGCTCCTTGAGCATTAGGGACTGATGTGAATGTAATATATATATATTGCTGAATAATTTGATGGCACTATATAGGTACTTGTAATAAATACACATGGCCTGTTACCAACCCAAAAACCAGCCGATCAGACTGATCTGTGCCAGCCCATGCTATCACAAAGGGATGTTATCCACCCCTTGTGATAAAAATAAAGTTGCTAAAAAAAAAAAAAAAAAAAATTTGTGGGACAGTGTAAAAAAGAGTTTTAAATATAAAAAATATTATAAAAAAAAAATATTAAAGCGCCCCGTTCCACCATGCTCACGCACAAATGGGAACACATACACAAGTCTGTGATTGCACCATACATGAGGTATTGTTGCAAATGTCAGAGTGAGAGCAACAATTCTAGCACCACATCTCATGTGAAGCCCTAAACTGGTAATCTGTAAAGTATCACGAATGGTGATTTTTAGGCACCTTTGTTTGGCGCCTTTCTGTGAGCATATACAATTTTAAATCATGACATTTTAGGCATTTATTTGGCATAACATAATCTGTTATATTTTACCCCCCAAAAATTGGGTATTATAATGTGTTCACTAAAATATAATTTTATCCCAAAAATTTGCATTTGAAAAACCACTGCCCAAACACCATATAACATAAAAAATTGCAACACCCACCATTTTATTTTTTAGGGCCTCTTCTTTAAAATATATAATGTTTGGGGATTCTAAGTAATTTTCCAGAAAAAACATGACGATTTTTACATGTATGTGAGAAGTGTCAGAATTGGCCCAGAATTGAAGTAGTTAAGGTGTCTGTACAAATAGAGAAAGGTCGGCACCTAGATATTCAATGCTTATAAAATCTTCTTTATTATGCGTTTAGGAACAAAAGGATCCAATAAACCAAAGATGACGCCTTTCTGCCTTTATGGGCCTTAGCCATAGCCCTGACTGACCCGTAAGGGCAGAGACACGTATTCAATCTTTTGGGTGTTGGATCCTTTTGTTCTTAAAGGGGTTGTAATAAAGATGATTTTATAAGCATTGAATATCTGGGTGCCGACCTCTCTGTTTTGATGTATGTCTCAACAGCTGTGGTCTTGGCACAAGAGAAACAATCCCTATAACTTATATAAAGTCCATGGGTGGTAGCACCATGCTTTTATATGATGGACATTGCGTAAGGTGTCTGTGTCCTGTGTGGATATACAGTAAATGCTGAGCCATTTGCCTGACATTCATTAGAACTGAAGAAGTGGTTTGGGAAGCTATGAATGTCTTCAACAGACCAGTTGAATGTGACCAGCTACGACTGGCTGTACCACGACTTGACATTCATTAGAATGGAAGAAGTGGTTTGGGAAGCTATGAATGTCTTCAACAGACCAGTTGAATGTGACCAGCTACGACTGGCTATACCACGACTTGATAAATGAAAACCTTAGATATTACAAGTGATTATGCGACTATTCATCTCCCACATCCAACAAACTTTAGAAAAATAAAGTGGACTGAACAATTCAAGTCCAACATACAAGATACTGGATTTTATTGGCCGAACATGGGACATGACTTATATGTATAAAACATAGTCAATTTTATTGTTCATATTCAAAATGGATTAAAAAAACAATGGAAATAAAAGGAGGGAATGCCCTTAATAATCCTATAAACTGGCAGGGATAGAGATTGATGTCATGTTCTAAATAATGGAAGTGCTCATTATAGGAATGAACAATTACATGTACAATACATGAGCATGAATGCGATTATTGTAGACTTACGGCTGTAAAGGTCACAAAGGTCAATGTGTTTCATCAAAATCACAAAATAGTGCAGCACTAGGATAAATTCAAATGTATTTGCAATACAATAGTGCAATGCCAATATATCAAACTCTTATGTGTCACCGCAAAATGAAAAAATAAATCCAAAAGGAAGCCAAACACTGTGAATTCAGTGGTTCTTTTATTATTATGAGAGACGTGAAAGATGTGGATACCAACCTCCAAACGTCTTAATGATAAACCACACAGCACCTTGGTGTACAACAGAGGGTGGCTTGCCAGAATCATATGACCCCCAATGTTTCACCAAAATATCTAGCTCCTTCAGGACCCCATATGACGTAAGGGCTTCAATCAGTGTGGTGTTACGTCATATTGGGTCCTGAAGAAGCCAGATATTTTGGCGAAAAGTGTTGACCTTGATAACCAGAAGTCTACAATCATTGCAATCATGCTGATTATTGTATTGTACATGTAACTGTTAATTCCTATATTGAGCACTTCCAATATTTCCACTGTTTTAATCCATTTTAAATGTGAATAACAACATTTACTATGTTTTATATACACTCACTGGCCACTTTATTAGGTACACTTGTTCAGTTGCTTGGTAACACAAATTGCTAATCAGCCAATCACATGGCAGCAACTCAATGCATTTAGGCATCTAGATATGGTGAAGATGACTTACTGAAGTTCAAACCGAGCATCAGAATGGGGAAGAAAGAGGATTTAAGTGACTTTGAATGTGGAATGGTTGTTGGTGCCAGAAGGCTGGTCTGAGTATTTAAAAAAAACTGCTGATCTACTGGGTTTTTCATGCACAACCCTCTCTAGGGTTTACGGAGAATGGTCCGAAAAAAAGAAAATATCCAGTGAGCGGCAGCTGTGTGGATGAAAATGCCTTGCTGATGTCAGAGGACAGAGGAGAATGGGCAGACTGGTTGCTGCGACATTCAGATGGTAGGGTCAGAATTTGGCATAAACATGAAAGCATGGATCCACCCTGCCTTGTATCAATGGTTCAGGCTGGTGGTGTAATGGTGTGGGGGATATTATCTTGGCACTAGCAAGGTATACCTGATAAAGCGGCCAGTGAATGTATACGTTTCGTCTCCCATGTTGAGCCAATAAAGTCCTGTATCTTGTTGGACTTGAATTGTTCAGTCCACTTTATTTTTCTACAAGTGATAGTGAATGCTTCAGTAATTAAAAGCTTTACTTATCCCCCCTAGTCTAGCCCTAAGCCGCCCGATCCTTCACCCAAGTGTCACGATGGTCGATGTAATCAGGAGATTGGGTCATTTATAGCCAGTCTAGAATATGCGCACATTGCCAAGTTCATACGTTTTCATTTGCGGCAGATACCTTAAGGGTTACATGAACAATAGAAAAGCCTTTGGTCATTTCTGAAAAGACATCTGCAGTTTTAAATGTCTAAGAATACTGATCACACAGAGAAAAGCTTTCCTAAATGCTATTAAGGCCCAGCATGCTGTATTGCCGGTCCATCTGGTGTTTGCTAAAAATACATTTAATCTTAGGTATAACACAAAAAGTGCATACAGAGTACGGTTCATTTTGCACGAATATGTTTGTTTCAACACCCAGTCTATTACAGTCCGCACGCATCTTCCTGGTATTGCTTCCACGGCCTCTTAAACAGCTCCTACCATTTGCAGTGTGCTCACAGACAAGGGAGATGGATCTGGTGGAATAAGTGATCCATCTGATCTCAGGTCCCGAATAGAATACTTTTGTGACATTCCCTTAAAGCCTAACTTTGGGCAGCTAAGAAAAAAAAAAAAAAAAAAAAGTATCCCGTGCAGTGGGGCAAGGCAAGGGTTACGATTTTTTTTTGTCTAGGAGAAACAGTTACTCACCTGGTCCTCTACTCCCCAAAACAAATGGCGCTCTGGCAGTGAACTGTCCCTCATCATGTCTAATGCAGGGCTATGGACCCCACTTTGGTCTTGATGTCAAAACCCTAGAACGCTGCAGTGTGAGACAGAAGAAACTGTTGGGAGGAGAGGAGGATTGGGCAAGTAAATCTCTTCTTTGTTTCCCCATAGACCAGGGGTGTCAAACTGGCGGCCCTCCAGCTGTTGCGAAACTACAAGTCCCATTATGCCTCTACCTTTGGGAGTCATGCTTGTAACTGTCAATCTTGCAATGCCTCATGGGACTTGTAATTTGGCAACAGCTGGAGGGCCGCCAGTTTGACACCTGTGCCCTAGACCAAAACAAGCAGTTGACAGCCCCGCTGCAAGGGATAGATTTAGTTGTCTGGAGTTGGGCTTTAAAGGGGACCAAAGCTTTCCCCAAACCTTCCTTATGCACCTCCACCATCCAATCACCTAATAAGCCAATGAAAAAGACTTCCCAATGTTTACCAATTGTCCCTAGCTTACTATGGCTGGCAGTCCAACAACACAGGGGAAAATCACATGCTCTCCGCCAATAGGCAGACACAGAGGTTTACAACTGGCTGGTTTAGTAAATATTGGACTCACTGTGATAGTGTCCTGATTCTCCCGCAGAACCTTCGTCAGCCGCATTATGTCCTCCTCTCTCGCTCTCATCTCTTCCTGTAAACGTTCAGATTCTGCATCTCTTTGGCGCTTGTTTTCAGCTAACTCCTCCCCTTCTTTCTGCAGAGATTGGTAATGGTGTCAGTGGAAGAGAAATCAAGATTCACATTCATCAACAAGCTAATGTCACTATAAAAGTACTTAAATCTGTCTTGGTATCACCTCCCCTGCACAGCAGCACTCTGATAGAGGGTGGGGCCTCACTAGGAGCCAATCAGGTTGTACTACATGCACATGTGCTTACAGGACAGGGTTCATGTTCTTCCATTATCCAATCAGCAGGCGAGGGGCGGGGAAGTGACTGAGCTGTATTTTCTACTGCTGGCAGAGAAAGTGGTGTCACCCTCCTGGTTTTGCAGTCTTACAGAGGGCTAGAGGACATAAAAAGTAGCTGGAGAGAGAAAAAAAAAACCCAAAAAACAAAAAAAAAAAAACACATCTTGTATTTTACATGCGCACTTGCAGCGTTTTCCCTAAAATATTTGTTATTCACTTACAATGTGCACTTGAAAAATTGAGTAGACCAGTGGTGGGCAACCTTTTTTTTCAACTGAGCCAAATCTCGCCACAACCACAATTGAAATTTATTTTTGAGAGCCACATATACATCCCCCATATAGTAATTCAATGTAATTCAATTCATCCCCCATATAGTAAAATAGTAATTCATCCCCCATAGTAATTCATCCCCCATAGTAATTCATCCCCCCTATAGTGTCAATTCACTTACCTTTGCTCCGCGCGTTTCTCTCGCCGTGTTCCCGCGGGCCGTAGTTTGCCATTGCTGGGCTAGCTGCAGAGTCCTGACTTTTGGGGCGGGCCGCCCGAGAGGAGGGAGGGGAGCGGGCGCCCGGCACACAGAAGAGCCGCATTAAAATGTATAAAGAGCCGCATGTGGCTCGCGAAGCCACGGCTTGCCGACCACTGGACTAGACCATATCTAGCACAGCCCTCTCCTCTTCTAGTATGAACTAATTACGGTCTGTGCTGGTCCAGCTCTTCCTTTCATCACCTTCCCTACATTATTATTATACAGTATTTATATAGCGCTAAAAGGTTTGCTCAGCGCTGTACATTATAGTGGGGGACAGAACATGAGACAATACATTAACAAAACAAAACACGAGGGGGTCAAGGGCCCTGCTCTTTCAAGCTTACAATCTAGGATTCCCTACATGACCTATTAGGTAGATGAGGGGACAGGAGTGACAGCAAATACTACAGAGTGTCACTTAAGTGACAGCTCTGAATCATCTGGGGCTGCTGACATTACAACCAAGATGGTGGAGCCCTGCAGAAGTCCCAGGGCATGTGGATGTCTACACAAGGGAGGCTTTAACAGGTAAATACTATGCATAAAATATGTGAAATGCACATACAATCTTATTGAAATGAATGGTCTGGCAACAAGTTCTGTTTGAGGTTTATGCCTTAATGATCTTCCAGTAAACGCATTTGAGGAACAAGTCTAAAAATGAAGCATTATCACAAATGGAATCACATGATGTGATCATGACATCACCAAGGGTCACCTTTGTCTGCTCTTCCCTCACTCTCAGCTCCTCCACAAAATCTGCGATGAGGTCCCCGTTTGGATCACAGGCCACCGGCAGTGTCAGCAGCAAGGTTAGACAGTCCTGAAGGCAAAAATTTGCTTAGTATTGTCTTATTATGTTATTTTATTGGATACTTCCCAAAGATCTCAGGCCACCAACCACTCATACTCACCTCCAAGAGTTCTTCCTTAAACTTCAGAGTTCTGATGAGCTCCCGCACCAAATCCTGCTGTTCTGATGAGTAGTCCTAAACGGCCAAAAAAAAAAATACTATATTAAAAACCTGTAAAAAAATAGAATTCTCTAGTGAACCTGTCTGGAAATATATCTTGGGAGGTGCCACTGCCAACAGTAATGGAACAGGCTCTTTGGCCTTCATGCTCATCCTTGTGTTGCTACTTTGTGAGTCACTGGCCCAAGATAAGTATGTGACTATGGTGAATTTGGAGCCCGTGACCTGCATATTTTATCTGCATCAGTATTCTATAGGTTAGCTTTTCTCAACCTGGGTTCTATGCAATCCTAAGATTTCTCCAGAGATTGTTAGGGGTTCCTTGGGCAAGGAACAATTTCTAATCTGTCGGACATGTAACAAATGACATGTATAATTTATTTTCTTCTATCTGTATAGAGGACAATTTTTCCCATTGACAACCAATGTAAGAAGCATTCTACCCATTGACCACCATGGTTAATGTACCCCGAGTTGTAGATCTAGTAATTATTTCTGATGTTTCCTGAGATCTGACTGTTATTTCAAGGGTTCCTTTAAGTTAGAAAGGTCAGAAAAGACTGGTATAGAGAAAAATGGCTGCCTTTGAATTTGTTCCCTCAAAAACAAGACAACAAAAGGCAGCAGTTTCTGCATTTCAATCTTTACAAGTTTCCCTAAAGGGCTAACCGCAAGCTTTGATTCCCCTATTTGTTTGCCTCCCTCCCTCCCTGCCAACACACACAAACCCTTCATACTTACCTCCAGTGAAGTCATCTCTATCTTCATCCAAATGATGGACAAATGCTAAATGGTGCAGAGAGCGGTGGCATGTAATAATGTGGCGCCGCTCTCTACGACATTCCCTATGAGTCCAGGACAGGGATCGGGCCCTTGACATCCTAGGCATCAAAACCTGGATGAGAAGTGATAATTCACATCAGTGAAAAGGTAAGTAAGTATGCAGGGGACGGTATCGAATAGGAGGGGAATATAGCATCTGGAGCTGCTCTTATTTCGAAGAGTTGCGTTTTGTTTTCTCTCCCAAGCTGAAATTGAGCTTTAAGTTGAAAAGTAATTTTTCAGGAGTTCCTGGGTTTGATCATTTTTCCAGATCATGCACACGGGCCTTTGAAGCCTTGAAGGTTTTGTATAATAAAAATGTGGGATCTGGCTGCCGCAAATGCATAATTTTGTCCAGAGTTATGATGCGATTATGTCAGACTTTCTTAATTGCTGTCAGATCTGTCCTTTAAAGTTGGACAATGTAATGGTGGCCTGTTGTTGGTTCCATTGCTTGACACCATAAGGGTCATCCACCCAACAGTGATATTTTAGTTATGGTGGTGGACTGGCTTCTTACATGTCTTGGATACTCTGTCATTGAGATCTGCATAATTTAAGTTTCTTCTCTTCACCTGGGAGATTTGGGTGTTTCTGCCCACCTGTGGGTACGAGCTCATCCTGTTACATTCTACAGCATATAAAATTAATATATAGCAGGAGTGGTGGGAGTTCTTCATAACGGGCACAGCAGATGCAATGACTAGGGACTCAGCACGAAGATCTTACTAATAGAGTCCCTGAAAAATGGGACACTGAACAGAGACAATGAAAAAAACACAGGTGTTTACTCCCCAACATCTCTCAAACACAGAAATATAAGTTTTGGATGGACTGATCCTTTAAATCATAGCCAAGACAGACCAGGTCTACTCAGAAGTTAACGGGGCCTGTCTTGGACTAACGACTACTATGTCTTAGCATACAGCTATGGTTTTATGGAAAATGACTGAGCTCTTTGACATTTAATCTTAGGTGATTATATGTAGCACTACTCCCTTAGGAGTCGCTGAGTTTTTGGGTCCCCCTATTGTCCTGCACAGTCAGGCAACACACATTTTTCTTCCACACATGCATCCAGAGTCAGTAAACAGTCCTTGAGCTTGGTTTTAGGTTTTATTAAGGGGTATTGAACTTGGCTGGGGTAAAGGGTGTATGGTATGCAAAAGAACAGTGAGAACAAACTCCTTATCAACTATGTACAAGTCTTTACAGAGCAGAAACTCTTCTTGGAGAGCTCTCCAACCTCTCCTGGTGTACCTCCCCAGATTATCCTCTTCTTATCCAGCTTGCCTGGATGAATCCCTCGGCAAGGGAACCCAGTGCCTGCCACTTTAAGATGAAACAGTCCCAGGTAAGGAGCTAAATCAGGTTTCCCACCAGAGTGCTCTCTTCCCTCTTAACTGGCCCAGGGGGTGTAGGATTACTCAGTCAGTCTCTGTCTTGTGAGCTGGTTTAGGTAGGTGGCTGCCTTCAGGCTGGCTCCTTTCCTGGCTCTACAGGTGGTCCTCGCTCTGGGAGTCGGTGAGGCTCAGCGATCCTCCTTTCCAGCTTCCTGCCTGTAGGTAGGCCCATTTCTACTTGCTCCCCTCCTAGGCTCCTGCATCTCAACTTTCCTCACATCTTCCACCCAAATTCTTCTTCTGCTGAACAGGCTCTGTCATACTTAAGGGCTGCTCTGGTCCCGTGCCAGCTTGTGAATTGGCCAGAGTCCGTTAAGTATGAAGACCAGCCCCTCTTCACCCCTGCCCACTGCTCTTAGAATCTTCTCCAAGATTTCAGAGCAGGGGAAGGTATCAAGGAACTGATCTGCAGAGCCTCTCTGCCCTGGCCTGAATTTGACCCAGCTGACTTTTGCCAAGGCTGCAACCCAGCCCTTCTGACTGAAAAATAATCAGCTAGTTGCCCCTAGCCAAGTAGGAGGATGCTATATTAAGAAACCGTACAAAACTATATAAAGTGACAGCCATTACCACCTCTGGAATAAACACATATATAAACAATTTGTGCAATCCCACAAGGTAAAAAAAAAAGTGACATAAAAGTCCCAATAATGTGAGAAACAAGTGTTATCTCTAACATCACAATGAATGCTTCAGTGCTCCATCAGCACCACAGAAAACTGCAGTGCTCTTGCAAACACCTACACACACAGCCACTTACCAGAAGCCTAGACCTAACTGTATAACTGGTCTAGCAGCACTTTATAAAGAACCACTCAGATCCTGGATGGATGGATCTCTTCTTCACCTCGTTTGCCAGTGGTAGCTTGCAGCATAGCTCAGTAGCACACAGAGGAAATATAAGAGGAACTCCATAGTGTAGTAAATCAAAACATCAGTTATTTAGTACTCACAAAACATAAGGCAGATTCAAGCATTTTGCAATAGCACCACTCATTGGAGCAGGCGTGATGATGTCACTGCTAGGCTCCACCCAACACATTTCATCAAAAAGGGCCCTCATCCAGGGGCATCAGAGTAGCGCTACTCCAGTGGCCCTGGATGCAGGGGCGGACTGACAACTCATGGGGCCCCCGGGCGATAGGGGATCACGGGGCTCCTATGTCCTTGCCAAAACTCAAAAAAGCCTATGGAAAAAAAAAAAAAAAAGGGTACCAGAGGCATCTCATGGGGCCCCCTACTGACCCCGGGCCCTCAGGCAGTGCCCGAGTTTCCAAATGGTCAGTCCACTCCTGCCTGGACGACGTCCCTTGTGACAAAACACATTAGGCAGAGCCCAAGGGTGACGTCATCAGACCTGCTCGGATAAGCGGTGCTATTGCGAACTGTTTAAATGTTACTTTAGTACTTTGTGGAATTACGAAAGTTACATACATGTATATATGTGTTTATTCAAGAGGTGGTAATGATTGCCACTTTGTTTTTTTAAAAAGAAAGAGCTCATGTTCATGTATCCTGGTATCAGTGAATGCTGCTGTTTTCTGCACAGATTTATTTATATTTTTGTGGTATTAGGTGATTGCTCGTCTAGGCACACCAACCTGTACAACTAACGGCTCATGACACTACAAATCACTTTAACCACTTGCCCTCCTGAGGATCCCCCCCACCACCGACCCTCCTGACCAGGCCATTTTTTGCGTTACGGCGCAGTGTTACTTTAACTGACAAATTGTGCGGTCATGCAACGCTGCACCCAAATGAAATTTATGTCCTCTTTTTCCACAAATTGAGCTTTCTTTCGGTGGTATTTGATCGCCTGTGTGTCCATTTTTTGCACTATACAGAAAAAAAAAAAAAAAAGGACCGACAATTTTGAGAAAAAAAAAAAATATTTTTGACTGTTATTAAACATGTCCAGTAAAAAAAAAAATAAAAAATAAAAAAAAAAAATCAAATTTCGTCATAAATTTACACCAAAATGTATTCCAATACAGCGTTCAGTGCTAAAAAAAAATAAATAAAAAAAATAAAAATAAAAAGCACTGACACTCTACTAATGGCACTGGGCAGGAAGGGGTCAACATGAGGGGCGATCAAGGGTTTAACTATGTGCAGTGAGTATTTCACTAGGGGGGCGGTGTCTGTGTTGCACTGTACGCACACTGCTCAGGATGGCTGTGCACAGCCATCCAGAGCAGTGTGCCCGAGCTGACAGGGAGGACGACTGTTAGTAAACAAAACAGTCCTCCTTCCTGTCAGTGATCGTCGGAAATCAGATAACATTGTATCTTTAAGCCATCCAGAGCAGAGTGCCTGAGCTGACAGGGAGGAGAATGGTTAGTAAACAAAACAGTTCTTCCCGTTCACTGGAAATCACCGGGTGCAGGCGAGTAATTACCAGCTGGAACCCGATGATTGACAGCCGCGAGTGGTGGTGGGGCTCACGCGTGCCCCCTATGCAGAAATGCAAAATCACGTATATATACACACATGTGATTTTGCACACCCGTGCTGCCCTGTAGCAGTATTTCTGCTATAGGACAGTCAGGAAGCGGTAAATAGGCGAATACCTGGTCAAATACAGATAATTACACATAAATTTGTGTCTCATATCTGCCTGGAGTGTTAAAATGATTGTATTTCATGTGTTTGATGTACAAGCTCCAATCTACAGTTTTAGTTCCATGCTGTACCATGCGGTGATCATACACTTATCCCATGTACCATGTAGGCGACTCAGCACTAAAAACAGCAGCACTGTTCACAGATTCAGTTTCTTAGTGTTCGGTTCACAAAGTTGATCTATGAGCTTTATACATTCTTACTTTGTTCAATAAAGCAGTGCAGAGCCCCAGGCTGTACAAGTCAAATAATCATTGGTATGCGATATATAAATACATCTGTGCTCCAAGAGGAACACCCATCCACTTATATAAAAACACATCTTTCAGGTATGTCAACCTCTTATTACACCTGCAAGGTTCATGAGTCATGGTGTCATGAGACCATTGTTGGACTAGATTAGTAAAGGAAGGCCGCCATCCTATTAATGAAACAAACAGTAAATATACAGTATAGAGGTAAATAATCATAAAATGTGTACTAATGTGCAGCAAACTAGGCAGAAATTACTCAAAATACTATATAGTTTATTGTAGCATTGGGGGTTGCGTGCACGCATGTCATCTCCTTCCACAAATAAAGAGATACCTAAAAAAAAAAAAAAAAAAAAAAACTTTCCAGTACTCAAAAATATTGTAGTAACTTGGCATTACCTGGTGATTAGAAAGAGTTCCACCATCTTGAGAAGCTTTTAGCTGGGTCTGAAGCCATTTTAATGTGTCCCGGATACGATGGAAACCAGAGACTTGTGTTCTGCACGCCTGAAAGAAAGAGATTCAGAGGTCAGTCCACCCAAAGTTGATGTTTCCTTTACAGTACAATGGTGAGTGGGATGAGCCACTGGTCTTGTGTCTACCATTTGGGATGTCTCTTTGCTGGTTGCAGGGCCTGTGCCATCCTGCTCTGGCTTCTCCCTGTTTGAGCTGCACACTCCTGAAAGGGGTTCTCTTCCAACACCCTATAAGCATACATCCTAACCGTCCCAGAATGGGCGCGGCCTTCCTGATATTTCATTGAAATCCCAGCATCTCACAGATCCAGGTTGTTCTTCATTTGACAGGCGGTAAGGGGGTGTTGTATTGCCCCCTTACTATCTTCTTCAACCCCTTACTAGCATGCCGAAACCGTGTGTATTGCACACAGTTGCAGGAAGGTTGCAGCGCAGCACCACTCATCTGAATGGGTACCGTTCAATAGGGGGTATAATTAATGCAGAAGCACAGCACATGGCCACGGCATTTGTATACCCCAGGTGCTGCCTCTGCAGCTAAAGGGGGTATCGGTTGAGGCCCCCAGGGAATGCCAGATTAGTCCCTCCCAACCATCAGAATTTAACCACTCCCACCTTTCGCTGAAGCATGCTACGCATGGTCCAGGTTGCTCTCCTCCTGAAGTGTTCCTCAAACGTTGGGAGGAATGCTATGAAGTAAAGTATCTTCACTCTGTACACAGCCTTGGAAACCCCAATGCTTCTTTAAAAGCTGATGGAGCTGGCCATAGCTAAACTTTAAATCACGTCTCTAGGAGGAGTTAAAAAAAATTAAAGAAAGCATTTGGCTTCTGTGGGCAACTTTAGAACAATTCCCTTCCATTCATATGTTGGAGATTTTTGGGCCTGCGCTGCTCCCCAATACTTGTACTAGCGAGTTTTAGACCTATACTGTTCCATCAACCTTTCACTGCCAAATTCTGGGCCTTCACTGCTCCATGAGCTTTACAGTGGCAAGTTTTAGAACTATACTGCTCCATATGCCTCTCTCACTAATTTTAGGACTACACAGTTTGATGTGCCTCTCTCCAGCAAGTTTTAGGACTACATTGATCTATAAGACTGGTTCTACTTATTTTTTATCCTACATTGCTCCATTAGCCTGCCCTTCGCAGGTATTAGATCAACAATGCTCCATGAGCTTCACACTGGCAAGTTTAGACCTACACTGCCCTATATGCCCCTTTCTAGCAAAGTTTTAGGACTATACTTCCCTAAGAGCTTTTTCCACCAACAAGCGTTTAGCCTACATGGCTCCATATGCTTCTTTCTGCCAGGTTTTAATCCTACACTGTTCCATATGTCCCTACCCATCATGTTTAGGATTATACTTCTTCGAGAGCTCTTCTTTTTACCGGCAAGGGTTAGACCACACTGCTTCATATGCCTCTCTCCAGGAAATTTTTGGACTACACTGCTATGCCTCTCTAGAAAGTTTTAGGCAACCTTGCTCCATAAGCCTGCTCTTGACATGTTTTAGGCCTACACTCTTCCATGAGCTCCACATCGGCCATTTGAAGGCCTACACTGTCCCATATGCCTCTATCCAGAATATTTTTGGACTATACTTCTTCATAAGCTTCTCTCTGGCAAATTTCAGAACTATACTGCTCCAAAAACCATCCCTTGACAAGTTTTAGGTCTACACTGCTCCAAATGCCTCAATTCAATTTTTCCAAGCTGAATTGGGGGGACACCAACAGCCATTTTAAACAATGCAGCTAAAATCCCTTCCACATCCACATGTTGCATACAAATATTTACAGGGCCATGAGAAACTGATCTTTGATTTGCAGCTTCATCAAAATGGCAGAATCTGGGCAAACTGGCATATGGAGAGACATTTCTACGTCCTATTTTGTACAGAAGCTCTGAAAAGTTCAGCTGGTGGTCCAGATCATTATTTGGCAACACATGTCATGGTTTAGATCAGGGGTCTCCAAACTTTCTATACAAAAAGGGCGAGTTTACTGACCTTCCGACTTTAGGGGGGGGGGGGGGGGTGGACTGTGGTCATTGGAAGTAGAAAATGTCCTGGCATCAGTGGGAGTAGACAATGCCCCATCTTTGGTGCCAGTGAGAGGAATTGTGCCCATCATTGGTCTCATTGGGTGGGAAGAGTCATGCCCTATCATTGGTGTCTCTGGGAGGAACTGTGCCCCACTTTTGGTGTCATTGGGAGGAATTATGACCCTTCCTTGGTGTCATGGCATGAAATATTACCCCAAGGATAAAAGCCGCAGTTTGGAGGCCACTGGTTTAGATTTAATAAAAAATAGTCACGTGATATAAACAAAATAAGAGAAATTCCAACCATAATGGTTCCAGGGACTAAGCTCAACTAAAGCCCATCCGTCAAGCACGGTGCTATGTGCGGTGTCTTATTATTTGCTGAAGTCATTCTTAACAATTAAACAAATCCCAGAAGTGTTGTTTAACACATGCTATAATCTTCTCATGGCACACAGACCATCCTCAGGGAGCAGGGAAGTGCATTAAACAAGCTGCCTCCATCAGCTCGGATAATATCTCGGGGTCTTACACAGCCCCTGGGCATTGGAGCGCAAACCATAAAAGATACAAAAAACGGTTTAGCAGGAAATTAAATTGTACTATGAATGCCAAGTAGTATAGATAAATACGCTAAACTGCTGCAACAATATTATATTTTATTATTTACAGTAGGGGTCAGCAACCTTTTCCACATCAGTCGTCAATTTACAAGCATCAGACGATTGGCATGCCTGTGAACAATAGCGCGCCGTCGCCGAGTTCATTGTACTGCTAATAGCAAGTTAACCTCATTAATTATTACTATATTAACAGCTTCAGTGTGAGCCTTGCCCCCGCCTTTCAAGGCTTAGCTGTGCTCTTCCTAGCCTATAGGATGACAAAATTATAGCTGTTCACATTTCTAAATTCAAAAAGTCAGAATTCGGCTTCAAGATAGACTTTAGGCCTCATTTACACAGGCACTGATCAGTACACCCATGCAAAGGGCCATCTTCACCCGCTCAAGATACACAGGTATCCTGCAGGCAGCCTGTTCAAATAAATGAAGGCACAGCTGCCGGACCTGCACCGATCCCCAAGCACATCCTAGAGTGTACCTCCATGCGGGTCTGATGCACGGATCAGGATACGGGTGTATGGATCAGTATTGTCCCTGTCAATGAGGCCTAAAACAGTCTTCAGATGTGTAAATAAAAAAAAAAAAAAAAAAAAAAAAAAAAAAATGGTTCGTAGATATACAGTGAGGAACAGAAGTATTTGAACACCCTGCAATTTTGCAAGTTCTCCCACTTAGAAATCACGGAGGGGTCTGAAATTCACATTGTAGGTGCATTCCCACTCTGAGAGACAGAATTAAAAATTCAGGAAATCACATTGTATGATTTTTAAAGAATGTATTTGTCTTGCACTGCTGAACATAAGTATTTGAACACCTGAGAAAATCAGTGTTAATATTTGGTACAGAAGCCTTTGTTTGCAATTACAGAGGTCAAACGTTTCCTGTAGTTCTTGACCAGGTTTGCACACACTGCAACAGGGATTTTGGCCCACTCCTCCACACAGATCTCCTCTAGATCTGTCAGGTTTCGGGGCTGTCGCTGAGCAACACGGAGTTTCAGCTCCCTCCAAAGATGTTCTATTGGATTTAGGTCTTGAGACTGGCTAGGCCAATCCAGAACCTTGATATGCTTCTTACGGAGCCACTCCTTGGTTATCCTGGCTGTATACTTCAGGTCGTTGTCATGTTGAAAGACCCAGCCATGACCCATCTTCAATGCTCTGACTGAGGGAAGGAGGTTGTTGCTCGAAATCTCACAATAAATGACCCCATCCATCCTCTCCTTAATACAGTGCAGTCGTCCTGTCCCCTTCGCAGAAAAGCACCCCAAAGCATGATGTTACCACCCCCATGCTTCACAGTAGGGATGGTGTTCCTGGGATGCAACTCATCCTTTTTCCTCCAAACACGACGAGTGAAGTTTAGACCAAAAATTTCTACTTTGGTCTCATCTGACCACATGACTTTCTCCCATGCCTCCTCTGGATCATCCAGATGGTCATTGGCAAACTTCAGACGGGCCTGGACATGTGATGACTTGAGCAGGGGAACCTTCCATGCAATGCATGATTTGAAACCATGACGGCGTAGTGTTTACTGACAGTGACCTTTGAAAACTGTGGTCCCAGCTCTCTTCATGTCATTGGCGAGCTCCTCCCTTGTAATTCTGGGCTGATTCCTCACCTTTCTTATCAGTGATACCCCACGAGGTGAGATCTTGCATGGAGCCCCAGTCCAAGGGAGACTGACAGTCGTCTTTAGCCTCTTCCATTTTCTAACAATTGCTCCAACAGTTGATCTATTTTCACCAAGCTGCTTGGCAATTGCCCCGTAGCCCTTTCCAGCCTTGTGGAGGTCCACAATTTTGTCTCTGATGTCTTTTGACAGCTCTTTGGTGTTGCCCATGGTAGTAGTTGGCGTCTGACTGACTGTGGGGTGGACAGGTGTCTTTAAAGAGCTCAGACAGGTGCTACCAAGTTAGATTAATGAGTGGAGTAGAGGTGGACTTTTTAAAGGCACAGTAACAGGTCTTTGAGAGCCAGAATTCTGTTTCTCAGGTGTTCAAATACTTATGTTCAGCAGTGTAAGACAAATAAAATTCTTTAAAAATCATACAATGTGATTTCCTGAATTTTTGTTTTTAAATTCTGTCTCTCAGAGTGGGAATGCACCTACAATGTGAATTTCAGACCCCTCCATGATTTCTAAGTGGGAGAACTTGCAAAATCGCAGGGTGTTCAAATACTTCTGTTCCTCACTGTATGTGGATCCAAAAGTAGAGAATAAAGCATAACTAAGAGCCCATTCACACGTGTGTGACTTATTATGGGACTTTGGGGTCCAAAAGTTGCAGTTTATGTTTCCCAATGAGTACCATTCATATCTGTGCGGCTTCAAGTTTCAAGTCGCAGCGACTTGAAAGTAGTTCCTGCACTACTTTGGTCCAACTTTCATGCAACTTGAGGGCAATAGACTTCAAGGTAAACCCTCCAAAAGTCACATGAAAGTTGTACCTGAATGTTATACATGCAACTTTTGTGCAACTTTGTACAGCACATCCAATCATCCCTGTTCAAAGCAAAAGTTGTACTCATCCAAATTCACACTAAATTCGCACTTTAAAGTTGCAACGAAAATCGTACGATTTTAAAATCACACAAGTGAGAATGGAGCCTAAAGTCAAAGCTTTTTATAGCTTTGGATAGTGTGGAGGTGGATTAGAACCCTGCCAGGTTTTTATTTCTGTCTGTGCCCCCCGCCATTATGGAGATTCACACTGTTTGTCATGTTTACCCCATTATTACTGAAAGCAAAAGAAAATTAAACATTTTGGTTGTCCCCAGAACAGTAATGGAGGGAAATGTTCCAATGGGGACACTAGCTCTGGTGACAACCAGGAATTTCCCTCACTTTGAGGGATTTCCTTGGCTATGGAACAGGAAGTGAAGGGAAACTTCCACATTGGGACACAGATGGCAAAAAGAAAAAAAAAAAAAAAACAATCAAAAACGAAAAAAACTGGTGGGGGTTATAACCCTCCCTTACTTTAGCCAAAATGAAAAGAAAGTTTTGCCTTTAGTTGTACTTTAATGCAAATGTTTTCCTTTTTCAAACATAATACGTTGTTACATTGAACTTTATCAGGTTACCACTGTTTTAATGTATGATGACATCTACTTGGTTTAGGGCCTATACAACTTGTTTACTTATGTAATTTGGTTATCTCCCTCTGTTCTCCCCTTCTGCTTCATATTTCTTTCATATTCCATTAGTCAGTGCTAGTTATTCAAAAAGACATGGCTTAGGAAAGTTGTCTTCTTACAATTCAGACTGGAAAAATGCTCTCTGTATTGCAATTATCTAAAGCAGTGCTTCTCAACCTTTTTTCAGGCAAGGCCCCCTTTAAAATTATGGGCAGTCCCAAGGCACCCTTTAAAATTATGGACAGTCTTGAGGCACCCCATTCTAAAATGTGAAAAACTATTCTAATAGATTTATTGTCAAGGTCCTACCTTTTTCCTGAGGTTATGTTACTCCATGTGCTGGCGTCCATCTTGGATTCCTGCTGTGCATGATGGGAATCCTTTTATGCCTTCAGGTCTCTGAGGTCCATCCCCCAGAGGGGTTTGGCTGATGACATATAAGCCTGTGGTCCGCACATGCTCTTTGCACTTGTGTCTTTGTGTTGCTATTACTCTGTTCTGACTCTCGTGACTATCCTGGTATCTGATTCGGCTTGTGACTCGACTATTCTTTGTATTCTCCTTTGATCTGACCCTCTGTTGCTGAACCCGGCTCGTGACCTGTGATTCTCGTCTGCTGTCCTGTACTGTTTTGTCCTGTTGTTGTTGACCCGGCCTGTCTGACTACGCTTTTGTCTCTTCCACCCAGCTACACGCAATTGGCGGCGGCCATTACCGCAGCTGAGGTGTCTCGGGGGCCGCGACCTGGTTCCTGGCTGCGTCAAGTCCATCCCCACCATCAGGGGCCCTGGTGAAGGGCAGCCTGGGACTTAGACTCCGCGCCCTGAGGGACTTCGGTCTGTGGGTGGTGGTTGTCGTCAGCCAGTGCGTCATTGTTAGGCCTGCCTGTCCGTTCCTTGGCCCCTGCCCTGACATTTATATAACGCAGCAACATCCACACACCCAACATTAGAGGCGATTTATTCTTTCAAAGCAAATACACTATTAAACATTGGAATACTAGTCAGTACCAGTGTGCCTCTTCTCCCTCAGTTTTACTCCATCACTCAGCTAATGTGACCCCAGCATTGATGGAGAGGGGCAGGGGAGAGTCAAACTAGAAGGCTCTGCAGGCAACCAACCAACATCTCCTTATCAACTGATGTCATTGGTTGTCAGGACGCTGGTGGCTAGGAGGTCGTAATGGTACAGAATGAAAACCTGTGGCTTGGTGTAACTAAAAGGCAGGCATGTTCCACCCGCTGGCTTGTATACAAGTTTTGGCCAATTTGTATGCATTTTGCCAAGGTACCCCTGAAGAAACCTCAAGACACCACGGCTGAGAAAGGCTGATCTAAAGTAAAGCTGGGCTGGATTCAGCTTCTGGGACTTATTGATGAATTAAGCTGCCTGTGGAAGGTGTCAAGTCAGCAAGTGGTCAAACGGTCCAGACACACAAGGGTTTATTTACTTAAGCTGGAGCATGAAAAATCAGCCTCACTTCTGCATAGAAACCAATCAGCTTCTAACCTTAAATTGTTCAATTCAGCTCTGGCAATAAAACCTGGAAGCTGATTGGGTTCTATGCAGAAGTGAGCCCGATTTTGCACTCTCCAGCTCTAGTAACTAAAGCCCACTGGGTCTATGGAGTTATGTCAATGAACAGAGTGGCAGAACAATGACATCCAAGGAAGTAGTATTTTTGTATAAGAGGTCAGCAATGGCAGACTGTATACATCCAAAAAGTGACCAAAAATGTCTATGTTAATTATGTTATCATCAACATCTTGTATTTCCATAAACATTTTTTTCATCCTGATCAAACTTTAAACAACAACAAAACTGGTCAGTTCACCTACAACTAATGTACCGGATACTAGAATGATAACAATGAATAAGCCCACATAAACTGTCTACATCCATTTAATAGGACCATGGAGGTAATAAAGTGAGGGGTGTGCTAAAGCTGGATTGCAGTACATTAAAGGAAATCCATAATGAGGGTTCCATTTCTGACCTTCCTCTGAAAAAGCTAGTAGCCTGGCTGTCTCCAACCTCAGTATTGAGTTGTTAACTGGAAAGAGAATACAGCAAGCAAAGTCAGAGCTCCTGATTCCCAGACTTGTTCCAGGTCAATGACTCCCAGCATTGAAGCCTCTAGACCAGTCAAGCAATTAGCACTGTTGAAAGAATTAGTCAACCATTGCAGAATACATATGTTTTCAGTACAGAGGAAGATGAGAGAAAAGCATGATCTTACCGGAGAGCCAATCTCCATAAAGGCATCCCAGTCTTCCTCTAGTCCTTCCACCACTGGCTCCTCTGGTTCCTTGTGAATATGGATCTGGATCTGCTGGTCGACATATTCCGCTTTTGCTCTCTGCTGACGTCTGACTGGTATTTTGCTTCGTGTTGGCGTTTTAACCGGGCTGTATTTAATCTCCCTCAAGCTTTTCAGAACTTCTACTACCACAGGTTTGGGGGAGTGTAGATGTGCTGATGGAGATGACGGGGAAGGTGAATGGGGTACCAGAAGACCTCAGCCTCTTCTTCCCCCACAAAGCGCAAGGAGTCCATAGAGGTGGATGACAATGACGACAGGGACCCCTTGATGCTGTTGTCACCAAAGCTTCCTAGAGATTTACTCCTCAGGAGACCTGTGCTGCCACAATCTGATCCACCGTGCTGTTTCTTTCTCCTTGGTATGGTACAGACGGACTCATAGTTAGCATCAGAGACCCTCCATGATGAGCAGGAATGGCACTTTTCCCCCTTGACACAACGTGAGCAGCCGGCAGAGTTAGTATCCCACCAGCTCTCATGCTCCCACCGTGAGCGGTCTTGGTCCAGAAGTTCCTGATAGGACTTTGAGTGGGATCCTGAGGACAAGGAGCCGAAAGAACCATGGAAGGAACTTGGGTGATCTGGAAAGGGCGAGTTGGGGAACGAACTCTGGTACCCCGGAGAAAGAGAATTATTTCGAGATTTGCTGTAGCCAGTTGATCGGAGATCATTGAAAGAGCCGTGATAACTACGTGAATTGCGTTCTTGGTTGGGCCCAAGATATTCAGGAAGAGGAAGGCCCCAAGCCCTAGCATGGATGGTTCGTAGAGTGAATGAAAGCTTATCCTGCTCAGTTAAAAGACGAACTGACCTCTGCTCAAAGAGCTCTTTCATTCGAGACATCACCATGTCGTACCGGTGGTAAACATTGAGTGTGTGGCAAACATTTTCCGCACAGGAACTCTGCATCTTCAGGCTGACCCTTGTCTTTACTAGATCTGGAAGTTGTTCCAGGTGGGCTGCGTTGGACAGGAGTCCCAAGGGCTTGCGAGAATAAAGCAGGTAGTGTCCCAGAGCCGCCAAAAAGCCACTTTCGCCGGGACCCACGGAGAGGAGCAGAGCAAAGGCGGCACAGTTCTGACATGGCTGGAATAAAAAAGAATATAGATACAGAATATGAAAAAAATAATCAGAAAAAGTAACGTTATTCTTCCAGTGAACATTTTGCATTTACAAATACCATTCATGATATATATGGAATGCCACCATTGCTTCCCCTCCCACTGCGCTGTTCTCTACAGAGGCCATGTACAGCACAATGATGAAGTCTTCACATGACTGTCATATGCCTTTAAGTGTTCTTTGTATTCTGTCTCTGCTCCTCCTCCTTTCCTTTGGTTTAGTTCATGCTGTATAGATAGCCCCACCCTTTTGTTCAATTTTCCCATTAAGGCACTTCAGCTTCAAACCTCATGTGATGAAGTAGATCACATTATGATCTTTTGACCTATCCGATGTTCATTGTTGTAAGATTTTCTCAGTTTATGGAATAAACTTCACAAGATCTACAAGGTGTCATCTGGATAGAGTCACTGCCTGTGTTATTCAACTAAGATTGGAGTTATCACTATCTCATCACAACTGTAAGTTACAGAGATCACACTTTCAATGTTTAGATTGGAGAGACAGAACAAAGTCACTGCTGCTTTTACAAAAGTAATATCTGGCTTTTGTAAAGGAATTTGGTGCACACAAAAGGAGATTTATACTCTGGCTATTGAGAAATATATTGAAATAAAAATTTGTCCAGAGTTCAGCTTTAAGCATGCAAGCTATACTTCTTTAATAAACTGAAAATAAAGGTTGTGGAATTTCGGTATAACAAAAAAAAAAAAAAAAATAAAAAAAAAAAAAAAAAAAAAAAAAAAAAAAAAAAAAAAACTACTTGCAATGTTTCCTGGACTCCATTTGCCATACAGCACAATCGATAAACATCATAGAAGGACTGGGAATTTCCCCATGAAATGTTAAGTATCATAACAGACGCCAAGCCTGTAACCCAGGAACTATACACGAAAACAAAGATCCATTAAGAGGCGAGATATAATATTCCATCATAGCTCAGATGTAAAACACAAGGCAACCCCTTAGGATTGTCACCGAACAGCTGTGGTCCTCTGAAAATAAGCCAGAGCCTGTCAGTGTCTTCCCTGGTCATGTGACCATGTGTAGATAAAACGTGTCTGTATAGTTATGTCCTCCCTCCTGTAGAAGGAGATTTGCTATCCTTTCACAATTAAACAAAAACAGGACATGATATCTCTTATGTAATACAGTATTACCAAACATAACAATATGCAGGTAATTCGAATACATTTGATCAAATCCATATATATATATATATATATATATATATATATATATATATATATATATATATATATATATATATATATATATATATACACACACACACATATATACATACACACATATACACACACACACACACACACACGTACCCAAATACATAAAAAGCAATAAACTTTTTTGCCTTTATTTGGCCCTTGGGGCAACATTTCTTCCACCAACACCCAACGATGGGGAATTATTATTTCAACTAATACCAATGATGGGGCACTATTCCTTCCACCGACACCCATCATGGGGCACCGTTCCTTCCACCGACACCAATCATGGGGCACCGTTCCTTCCACCGACACCAATCATGGGGCACCGTTCCTTCCACCGACACCAATCATGGGGCACCGTTCCTTCCACCGACACCAATCATGGGGCACCGTTCCTTCCACCGACACCAATCATGGGGCACCGTTCCTTCCACCGACACCAATCATGGGGCACCGTTCCTTCCACCGACACCAATCATGGGGCACCGTTCCTTCCACCGACACCAATCATGGGGCACCGTTCCTTCCACCGACACCAATCATGGGGCACCGTTCCTTCCACCGACACCAATCATGGGGCACCGTTCCTTCCACCGACACCAATCATGGGGCACCGTTCCTTCCACCGACACCAATCATGGGGCACCGTTCCTTCCACCGACACCAATCATGGGGCACCGTTCCTTCCACCGACACCAATCATGGGGCCCCGTTCCTTCCACCGACACCAATCATGGGGCCCCGTTCCTTCCACCGACACCAATTATTGGGCACCATTCCTTTCACGGACACCAATTATGGGGCACCATTCCTTCCACCGACACCAATGATGGGGCACTATTCCTTCCGACACCAATGATGGGGCACTATTCCTTCCAGTAATACCAATGATGGGGCACTATTCCTTCCACCAACACCAATGATGAGGCAAAATGTTTTCCACAGACACCAATGATGGGGCACTATTCCTTCCGCTGACACCAATGGTGGGGCACGATTTCTCACACTAATACCAATGATGGGGCACTATTCCTTCCAGTAATACCAATGATGGGGCACTATTCCTTCTAGTAATACCAATGATGGGGCACTATTCCTTCCAGTAATACCAATGATGGGGCACTATTCTTTCCATGAATACCAATGACGGGGCACTATTCCTTCCACTGATACCAATGATGGGGCACTATTCCTTCCAGTAATACCAATGATGGGGCACTATTCCTTCCAGTAATACCAATGATGGGGCACTATTCCTTCCAGTAATACCAATGATGGGGCACTATTCTTTCCATGAATACCAATGACGGGGCACTATTCCTTCCACTGATACCAATGATGGGGCACTATTCCTTCCACTGAAACCAATGACAGGGCGCCATTTCTCCAAATAATACCAAATGATGAGGCACGATTTCTTCCACCGACACCAATGGAAGGCACTATTCATTCTACCGACACCAATAATGGGGCACTATTCCTCCCACTAACAACAATGATAGGGCAAAATTCCTCGCAGCTCATGTTTTGTAACACACCGTTTAGACTTTTTAGCTGTAAAGCCAGGTAGATTGCCAAAAGGCTAGGTTCACATTACTGGGTGTAGGTAATGTGTGCAAAATCGCACATAATCCCAACACTCAGAGAAATGGGCTGCTCTTTAGACCATGCAATTCGGTGCGGCACAAAAGAAAAAAAAAAAAAAAATTAAAAGAAGTGTTGGGGACTTTTTTCTCTGCAGTTCTTGCAGGTAAGGCAGCCCATTGAAACAACTGGGCTGCACTACACACAGCGATGTGGACCGAGGGTTATAGGTACTGCAATAGTTTTTGCTGTTTAAATATGGATTGATATGAGCCTGGACAAAAAAGGAAGGGGCCAACCTATGGTACCGCACACACAGGCCCACTACGTTTAGAAACCACCCCAGGCACAGCGCACGTCCTCGCAGGTTTTGTGTATTTTTGATCTGCTGATTTGTGGAGTGAGAATGCAGAAATCTCTGTACATCATACAGAAGACAGGCACAGAGCGGCCATGTAATATCACACCATGACATGTACAGACATATGATCATGCAGGAAAACAGGCCGACCTGGGTAATTCTACAAGAGCAGACGGGTAATTCAAATATTTTCATGTTAAAGTTTAACCACTTCAGCTCCGAATATTTACACACCCCCCCCCCCCCCCCCCCCCGACCAGGCCATTTTGTGTGATATAGCACTGTTATTTTAACTGACAATTGCGCGGTCTTGCAACGCTGCACCCAAATCAAATTTATGTCCTTTTTTCCCCACAAACAGAGCTTTCTTTTGGTGGTATTTAATCACTTCTGTGGTTTTTACTTTTTACATTAGAAACACAAAAATTTACAATTTTGAAAGAAAATATTTTTTGTTTTCTGCTATAAAACATATCCATTTAAAAAAAATAAAAATCAAAATTTCCTCATAAATTTAAGCTGAGATGTATGTATTTCTGATTTAAAAAAAAAAATATATATATAAGTGTATATTGATTAGTTTGCACAAAAAAGTTATAGCGTCTACAAACTGGGAGACATATACTGGAATTTTTTTCATTTTTATTTTTTTTTAATACTAGTAATGGCGGCAATCAGTGACTTACAGCGGGACTGCAATATTGTGGTGGACATTTTTAAACTGACACTGTGTGAACCAGTGACACTAATACAGTGATCAGTGTTAAAAATTTACACTGATCACTGTAGCAATGACACTGGTTGGGGAACATCTAGGGCAGGGTGATCAAAGGGGGTGCCTAGCTATGTGCTTGGTGTACACTAGATGGCACTGGTACAATGGGAAGTGATGGATCGTGTTCCCAGCTCTCCTCTGGCACACTATCACTCCCCCCTGTCACAACAGAACTGCGCCTATGTAAATATAGGCACAGCTCTATTTTTTCTCCCTGCCTGACAATCTGCGGGTGCCACTGAAGATCCGTTCGCTGGGACTCACAGATCAGCTTCTGCTGTAATAGTTCACATCAGAAGCGATCCGCCGGCGGCACGTGTGGCCCCGTGAGGCGCAAGTGAAAAATCATGTGTGATATATATATATTTTATATCATACACACACAGTATGTATGTATGTATGTATGTATGTATTTTGCACAGGAAAACTGCTATAGGGCAGAGGTTAAGAAGAAATTATGACAACAGAGACAGACGAACAATGCAGCCGTGTTATTCTAGTGTCCCGCAAGTCTTAGAGTCTGGAACCACACAGGAGGTCAATTTATTAAAGGCAAATAGACATTGTGTGTAGGGCAGTCTATTCATTTCAATGGGTTGCCCTACATGCAGAAAACAGACAAAAAGTCCCTGGCCCTTCTGCTAAATCTGCTTAACAGGAACACATGCGTGTTAGGAAAGCGTGAGAGTTTGCACAAGTTCCCTTCAAGCACAGAGGGTAAACGTAGCCTTAGAACCATAAACAGCAGATCAATTTAATGAGGTCTTGATCATTTTAAGATGACCATACCATGTAATAATCTGTGATCAAATTAATTACAAACGTTCGCAAACAGTCATTGATTAAAACATAAAACATTGCAACACATGCTGTATTGTTCTTCATCTGCGACTGCAAACATTGATTGAAAGCATAACCTAATAAAAACAATCATCTAATCCAGAGGTCTCCAAATGGTGGCCCTTGGCCGACACTATTCCTCCCATTCCTCCGACACCATCCATGGGGCGCCATTCCTCCCGACGACACCATCCATGGGGCGCCATTCCCTCCCGACGACACCATCCATGGGGCGCCATTCCTCCCGACGACACCATCCATGAGGCGCCATTCCTCCCGACGACACCATCCATGGGGCGCCATTCCTCCCGACGACACCATCCATGGGGCGCCATTCCTCCCGACGACACCATCCATGGGACGACACCATCCATGGGGCGCCATTCCTCCCGACGACACCATCCATGGGGACGCACATCCATCGCCATCCCCCGCCGACACCATCCATGGGGCGCCATTCCTCCCGCCGACACCATCCATGGGGCGCCATTCCTCCCGCCGACACCATCCATGGGGCGCCATTCCTCCCGCCGACACCATCCATGGGGCGCCATTCCTCCCGCCGACACCATTGGGGCGCCATTCCTCCCGCCGACACCATCCATGGGGCGCCATTCCTCCCGCCGACACCATCCATGGGGCACTATTCATCCCACTGATATCCAGTGAGGGGGGGCAGCATACAGTGAGGGGGCTAAACTGTTAGCACTTCTACCTGGCAGTACAAGGGTCATTGGTTCAAATCCCAACCACAGCTACACCTCCCTGGAGTTGGCATGTTCTCCCTGTGCCTGCGTGGGTTTCCTCCGGGTACTCCGGTTTTCTCCCACACTCCAAAGACATGCTGGTAGGTTAATTGTCTCCTGTCTAAATTGTCCCTAGTATGTGTATGTATGAATGTGAGTTAGGGACCTTAGATTATACACCCCTTGAGGGTTAGGGACTGATGTGAATGATCTTTAGCATGCAACTTTCATTAAGATTTTTTTTTTTTTAATGCATACCAGGGGATACTGTGGTGTGAAAAATCTATATATTGAAAGCAATAGATTATGAAAACTGTTTCTAACACTTATAAAAATATTAAAGCAGAACTAAACTCATAATTTTAACGGTTTCAAAAAAACAGTTACATTCCCAGCATGCCAGGAATGATTACTGTCACATTGCTTGTGCTCTCAACCAAACTGTCAATCCATCAAATGTCTGATGTCATCACTGATCACATGTGCAGCATCATGACAACTGCAGATCAAACACAGGCTAAGATGGTAGCTTCCTTGTCTAAAATGGACAGGAGGGTTTAGTTCCGCTTTAAGTTGTACTGAATGATCAATTGTATGCACAGACTGATACATGTATGGCAATATTTATGGAACGATTTTTGAATGTATTTTCAATTGATTTACCATATAGGAGAAAAAACGTCCTACTTTCCTATGATTGGATTTTCCGTCCAGGCCAATGAGAATAAGTCACATGAAATCAATCGGTTTTGTGCAAAATCTATCGATAGCACGGTATGTGTCTGTTCGAGAATTCATAGATTTCATTGCATTGTAAAGAATCAATCAGATCAATACGTACATGACCACAATTAAACTCTGCCAAGTCGATCAGAGGTGCAGGAATTTTGTTGATCAATCTAATGGTGACCGTACACGGAATGATTTTATACATGATCATATTATCAAATCGGGAGAAAGATATAATTGGAAGATTGATCAGACGCAAACGCACTAATTAAATTCAGACTTTATAATCGAAAATGATTGAGAACAAGTTTGGAAGATCTCATTATGAACTGATCCGCTCTGATCCTATGCAATGGCTTCCCAAGTAATGAAATTATTCATCTTTAAATATCCAGAATTGCAAGAAAAGACAGTTCAATGCATCATACACTCACGCTGCGTTCACGTGAATGCGTTTTTTTTTCACGCTATTTGAATGGGCTGCCCTAGGCACGAAAAAGAAGCTCCTGCACCTTTACGGGCGTCAAGCTTCACGCACATAAAGATGGTTGTCGCACGCCTGTCGGCCATGTTTGGGGTGCCATTAATAATGAACGGCGATGCGCATTTATGGAGTGCTTGGATATAAATAGAGCCTTAATGACCACATCGATCCATTGTCCTATGATCAGGTGTGCTATCCAGACCAATCAGAAGAATTCAGATGAAATTGGTCGGTTTTTCTTGAAGTTGACCAATGACACAATGGAAGAGATTCACTAATACTGGTGCACTCAGAATCTGATGCAGCTGTGCATGGTAGCCAATCAGCTTCTAACTTCAGCTTGTTCAATGAAGCTTTGACCATAAAACCTGGAAGCTGATTGGTTTCCTTGCAGGGCTGCACCAGATTTTGCACTCTCCAGTTTTAGTCTAACTACCCCCACTGTGTCTTTTTGATAATTCATAGATTCAATCACATATCGATTACATGAAAAATCGTTCAATCAGATCAATACAAACATGGCCACCATTAGACTTTGACATGTCGATTGCATCTGATCAATCTAATGGTGACCATACACCAACCAATTTTATATACGATTTGTATTGTCAACCAGGAGAAAAAAAAATACAATTAGAAGATTGTTCAGGTATCAACACTAATTAATATCATTGATACAATTGGACCATATACTTGAAATTAGTCGAAAACTAGTTTGAAATATCATTAAGAATGGATAGATCTAGCGATGTACTTCCAAATAATACGATTATTAACCCCTTACGACGCCCTAACACATAAGCAGCGGCAAAAGGGTGGCTTGAACGCTCATGTGTCATACACATGCGTCGCTGGGCGGTCAATATTTCTGTGCTGAAAGCACTTCACTGTGCGCTCCCAGGGCCAAGACCAAGCTGTGACAGATAATGATTGGTAGCTGCTGGCTACCAATCATGTGACCACTATGACAGCCAATCACAGCAGTCACATGATTGACCAATCTTTCCCACCCCCTGGTTCAGAATTTTTTTAAAGGGATGCTGGGGCGGGTAAGAAGGGGTTAAAATTGACTGACCCCTTCCGATCCTATGGGATGTACTTCCAAATTAATACAAATTATTAATCATTTTACTAACCAGAATGACATGAAAAGATTGT